TAATATTTTATTAGCATTAATAAGGTTAATGTTACTTTTTTTGTCGTGATACCAACCTAAAATGTTGTATAGGTTACTTACAACAGTATACGTCGTTGAGCGTTCATAAAAAAAGTTGTATGTAATACATATAACATTTTACGTTTACATTTAAATAAAAATATTGTTGTATGTAATAGATACCACATTTTACTTCGGGAGTTGTTATTCAAAACTTTGTTGTATGGTGACATGCTGTATTTTACTTTGTTATTCCTTTTTCGTTTTCGATGATGTATGTCAAGTCTTTTCTAAAATTGGATCTTGCAACATTATAAAATGCCTTGCCCTGACTGACTGACTTAATGCTTCACTAACGCAGGTCGCACAGGCAACTATGTGCGACCTGCTTTGGTGGATCGTTAAGTCAGTCAGCCAGGGTAAAGCATTTTATATGTTGGAGAGGTAAAAGGTGTATGTCTTCCCTAAACGATGTAGGCATCAGGACATACGCGAGTTGCAATCAAATTAAAACGTTAATACTGTTTCAGAGTCACCATTGCCAATAAGTTTTAATGAATCTGAAATGAATGAGTTGGCAAATATAATAGATGGAAACATCTTTGACAACTTAGAAGTAGCAACAGATTCTGATACTGCAAATCTTGAGACACCGCACCCTTCCCCTTCTTGTAGTATCAATCACTTGGACTACGACTGTGATAATGATTTTTGCCCATATTATATACAAAAAGAAAATTTATCAGCGTTCGATATCATACCTCAACCCTCACCAGCATGGATTTCTAGCTGCTCGACGTATACAACCATGAACAATAGTCCGCTGTCGGATATTTCGAATAATAGTCCCACCACAAGTGACCGCCGCCGTCGTCCATCAAGGAAAGATAAAGGTAATGTAAGAAAAAGACGTTATAAAGAATGGATAGATAATAAAAGAAAGTATTTACGTAATTTGGGAAAAGAATATATTTCGAGAAAAGGTAAAATAGAAGCAAGCAGAAAGATGGGCCCACCATGTCGCTGCCGCAAGAAGTGCTTTGACAAATTAAGCGAAGAACAAAGAAAGAAGATTTTTGAGAGTTTTTGGAGCTTAGGCGATCGAGAAGAGCAATGGATGTATGTGGCTAACTTAGTAAAAAAGCAAAATAAACGTAGAGTCTATACAGATACAGTTTCAAGACGTAAGTACACGTTAAAATACTTAATACCAGTAGGTCATGACAATGATAATATTAATTATGTGGATGTGTGCAAAACACACTTTTTAAGCACTTTGTCTGTCAGTGATCAGGTTATTTATAAGGCTCTAGAAAAGATGGATACGACAACGGGAGTACTAGTCCCAGATAAAAGAGGTAGACATTCAAACTATCCCGTAAAAAAAAACAGATTCGGTTATAACCAGTATGTGTGATCACATCAAGAGCTTGTAGCCGGTTGAGTCACATTATACGAGGCAAAGGTCAAACAAATTATATTTGGATGGAGATTTAAATTTTCTTGAATTATTTGAAATGTACTATGAGTGGCTTCACCCTAACACACAATATGAAGAGAAAGCTGAAACCGAACGTCAATATCGAGATATTGTAAATGAAAATTTTAAGCTCCGTTTTTACGTGCCTAAGAAAGATCAATGCGATCAATGTCCTACTGAACAACAAATCGCAGATCATGATAATCATGTCACAAACAAGAAGTTATCCCGACAAATCATGAAATCTGATAAAAATGACAGCAAATCTTCACAAGGTAAAATCGTCGCAGCTACTTTTGATTTTCAAAAGATTCTTAATGCACCTCATGGCCAATTAAGTATTTTATATTACAAGCGGAAGTTGTCGGTTTTTATTTTACTTTGTTTGATCTAGCAAATAAAGAGGGACATTGTTATATGTGGCACGAAGGAGAAGCTAAGCGTGGTTCTAATGAGGTATCAAGCTGTATTTCTCATTTTATACAAAAAATGCATGAACAGGGTGCAAAAGAATTCAGATTCTGGTCTGACAATCATGCCGGTCAGAACCGTAATCGCATTTTTTTTGCGTTTTATGTGTATATTGCTCATAAACATAACATTACTATAAAACATACCTTTCTCGAAAAACCTTTCATAATCAAGCAGAGGGTGACAGCGTGCACGCTTTAATAGAAAGATCATCTAAAAATAAACTTATATATACACCTCTGGAATGGTTTAGCTTGGTTAGATGGGCTAAACAGGATGGAAAATCATATAACGTCATAGAAATGAAGCACACCGATTTTTATAACTTTAAACAACTTTTGGACGGGCGTAATTGGTCAAAAATATAAGTGGAGACGTAGTTAAATGGAACAAAATAAAAGAAGTGCGGGTATGTGCAGAAGATCCTTTTAAAATTGAATATCGGTACGATTTGGCAAACAGTAATGCTATGACGATTGCCATTAATACCAATACCCGAAGACGCCAGAGAAATAGTATGGCTTAGCTATGCCCCCTCTATTCCAAACATCTTCCCTTAACAAAGGCAAAATATATGATGACTTAATGAGTCTCTGTCATAATGGAATTATTCCAGCCACATATCATGACTTTTTCAAGAGTCTATCTTTTGTTGCTGGCTCTCATAATAAAATAAAAAAAAATGTATATTGAATTTTCTGATTCAGAATAGTACTTATAAAAGTCTTTTCTTTTTTAAATCATTTAAATTTCTTTAAATTTCATCTTCGTTTTATCATTGTTTTTTCAAAATAATAATAGTTTTCACAGCTCCAATAAAACCAAAAATTTGGTTTGTTTAATTAAAAATAACTCAACTGTTTTCAATTACTTATGTATAATTTCTAATAAAAAAATATTCCTCTAAAGCCAAGGATAGTTACTATGCCAATAACTATAAATGGTTACCTGATTTCTAGTTATCTTGATTTTAAGTTGATCTCATAGAAATTATTAAGTAAGTCATAATTATTTTTGTTATTTTATGATGATATTTTATGATTCTATTTTCACAATCCTAAGAAGAGTTTGTTAAGTTATTAAAATATAATAGAAAGAGTGTGCTATGTTTTCATTTATGTCCTTTTTATTTTGTTTCTAAATAACCTAAATTTGATAATATTATAAGCTGTTTTTTTAATATTCATTATTTTATTTTTATATCGGTGTTCTCACCAATTTATAAATATTAGGTAAGTACTTTTATTGCAATGTTTATATAAATGTTCCTAAAAATATAATAATAGTAAGTATTTGTGTTGTTCCTATTAAAAAATAAAGAAATTTATCCTTGACAATATGTCTTTTTATTTTTTAACCTAGTATTTGTTTACATATATTAATACAAACCTAATATTTTAACCGATGTAAATTGTTATTGCCACATACAGTGGAATGAGACTTATATTTTTCAATGTATATTGTTGTAACTATTATATACAACAACTGACGAAATCAAAACTCCGCGGTATAATATTGTAAGTATGAGATACGACAAATGTCGCAGCCTGTGCTCCGCAGTAAAATGTTGTATGAACAATATCTCAGAAAATATACATTTTTTTTAATTTATCTTTCAACTGTAATCAAGAATACTATAAATTACATTCATATTCCAAATTTACACAACAAAAATACAATCATAAATGCAGTTTTTCGTCTAATTTGAATCTTTAAAATGCTCTATTGTAAAATTGCAGTTTTGGGGATACAACAACTTACGTGGGAGGTATCGATATATTCTATGAGAGCGTGGTTCCACCCCTGTTAAGCCGACCCATTCGTGCTACTACTAGCTGCCGCATGGTTCTACCATGTATATAAAATATAGAATAAGTAGAAGCCTGTGACACTGATATTTTACAATTTTTTTTTGAATTAAATAAATTAAAATCTATCGAAATTCAAACCATATCCAACCTACTTTACAAACGGTAAAACAATAAATTTAGTAGCATCTTTGACCTTGTTACTTCGCAGGGTGATATACCATAGGGCAAAGGGCAAAGTAATTAATTTTCAAACGTTTAATTCAAAAATTTTGTTAGGTATTATTTTTTGTAAAATATCAGTGTTATAGACTTCTATTCCGTTCACATGTTACACCCTATTTTATATATTTAATTTTCTCCTTTTACTATACTATCTTTCATCCGTATAAGAAGAAGACTTGTCTTGGATAAATCTTTTTGAAACTCTGATTTGTTATATGGAAAAAATATCCAGGAACCAAAAGGTGGATTTATATGGCTTGGCAGTCAATATTTAAATAATAAATCATGGTAATGAGGGTTAATAATCTTCCGCTCACCAGGTGTCGCTAGTTAGTAATGAGATTTTAATTGAAGTTTATCAGTTTTTGAGTATTATGTAAAAACACAACACAACTCCTCAGTGGTTGGCTTTTAAATTTTTAACTCTTTAATTTGTCTACTTTTAGGAATATCCGTAGTTTTGCTTATTTATTCCTAAGCGTGTAAACATTGGCCGCTAACAAATAGCACTAGGGCTGCCACCTTCTAGTAAAGTAACGTAATATATATCTACGTTATAATATATATCTTCACTAACTTTTCGTTACATACGTTCCGTTATAATGGTTATCAAAATACGCATGGATTAGTTTTACCTACATTATAGTTTAAATGACAATTGGTAGTTCGGTAGTATGATGAATTGTATTACAAGTTTTTGCTGAATTCACCTATCCATTACATTTACGTGTAATTAGTGTTTTTGAAGTAATTAAAGCTATATAAATAATTAAATGTGTGTTATTTTAAATTTATTTCAGCATAAAAAGAAAAACAAAATCTAGACAGAAACAAAGGAAAAGACGTCGGTGTCTTGGGGCCCGTGAATACAAAAAGTATAGCCAAGAAATGCTTCAACTAGCAGTTGAGTTAGTAGAAAATGGTCAGTTATCGGCACGAGCTGCTGCACGACAGTTTTCCATACCTAAACAGACCATATTAAACAAAATCCACAACAAACATAACAAATCTGTTGAATGTCCAACTCGTCTAACGGAGGTCAGGAGGTAGTTTTCGAATATTTAAAAAAAAATGGTCGACAGGACTTGTTTGAAGGTCAACCTCCAGGAAAAGCTTGGGTGGATAATTTTTTGTTGCGTAACGCTGCCGATTTGACCGTATGCATTACCCAAAATATCAAAAAAGTCCGAGCTGAAAAAGGAGTTGATGAATTAATGGAATATTTTGAAAATTTACGTGAAACCATTAAAGATGTTCCGGCATCAAATATATTGAATTTGGACGAGACCAACTTAAGTGACAATCCGGGAAATTCCAAGTGCATATTCAAGAGAGGGGTGAAATATCTCGAAAGGGTCCTTAACTCTACAAAGGGGGCCATATCAATCATGTTCTCTGGAACAGCGGCTCGTGAAATCTTACCAGTCTACGTTGTTTACAAAGCCGATAACTTATACTCGGAGTGGATACAGGGCGGGCCTCTTCATACCAGATATAATCACACCAAGCCAGGCTGGTTTGATCCTCAAACTTTTGAGGATTACTTTAAACGAATCGTCCTGGATTGGGAGAGTGGTTTGCCCGGGAAAAAAGTTGTTATTTGCGACAATCTATCGAGCCACTTAAGTGTAAATATTATCGAGCTCTGCGAAAGTCATGATATTCAGTTCGTTTTAATACCTACAAACTCGACACATTTGACGCAGCCACTCGATGTGGCATTTTTTGGACCGCTTAAGAAAATATGGCGAAAAATTTTACTTCAATATAAAATTGAGAATCCAAATCAATCGACACTTAATAAAAACCACTTTCCAAAGTTATTGAAGTCTTTGACTGATCAGATCCAGCTAACAGAGTTAAAGAATATCAAAAGCGGTTTTAAAGCTTCTGGAATCAGCCCTTTCAACCCTCGTGAGGTGATAAAACGGATACCTGAATATCACGAAGAGTTACAGTCTTATACAATAGACGAGACCCTGCTCGAATATTTAAAACGAACAAGACAACCTAAGCCCATGATTTTGAAACGAAATAAAAAAGTTGTTACTGAACCAGGAAAATCAGTGACAGTCGATGACTTTCTACGACAGGAAACAAATGCGTCAACTTCATCAGTAGCTAGCGTACAAGGCAGAGCCAAGACTTCGAAAAATTACAAACTCAATGTGAAAAAATATAAAAAATCTGGCAACTGTCAAAAACTGGTCGACAATGGTGAAAATAGATACAAGATGGATATGATTGAAGATGAACGAATAAAATGTATGGAAGGGACTGAAAACGGAAATCTCGTAGATAACTTTAACATGGATATGACACAATCTCTCAAAGATATGAATGAAGACGAAATGGAGCTCGTAGAAAAGATCAAAAACGAAGATTTTACAGATGCAATTGATTTGAAAAATCTTCAAGATTCATTGAAAGATGACGTCAAGAAAATAAGCACGCTTTTAGATGAAAAGACGGGACTTCTTAAAATTAAGGAAATAGATGACCGAATAATGAAATTACCTGGAAATAATAATAATGAAAATAAGATAGAAGTTCTTTCGACAGTGACTTTAAATCTACTATCAACGTCAACCGGAAAGACAAATAAATCAGGTTTGTTTTTTAGACCACACGTCCTATATTCAGACAGTGACGAAGAATTGCAAAATAAAGATAAAGAGAAAGTGCTGGAAGAAATAGAGTTAAACATAAAAAATGAAAAGAAAGAAAGAAAATATATTAACATACCAGACAAATATAAGGATTGCGAAACAACAGAGAAACTAGTAACGACAGTAGAAAACAAAGATTTATTACAAAAAAGTGAAACCAATAAAAACAAGCAAAAAAAGAGAACAAAAGAGGTAATAATAGTAAAAAACAAAAAAAGATCTAAAAGACTAACTCGAAACAGCAGTGGCAATGACACCGACGTTTCCGAGAATATTTCATACAGAGAATCATCAGATAGTAGCGAAAGATACGTTCCCGAAGATGTCGAAAAAGACATCGAAATGTGTACAACAGAATTTAATGAAAACAATAAAACTATGTCCGTAGAAAATGAAGAATTATTGTACCATCATATTCAACATGAAGTGCACGTTGACAAATACGTTTTGGTCAAATTTATAACTGAAAAGAGTACTAAATATTATGTAGGAAAGGTAACAAAAATCGATGGAATCTTTGTGTCCATAAATTTTTTAAGAAAGAAGAATAACAACTCTTTTTTCTGGCCTCAAGTAAAAGATGAGGCGGAAATGTATTTATTTGATATCGTAAAAGTATTACCTCAACCAAATGATAACCGTAGGGGTTCATTAGCATTTGAAGTTGATTTCAGTGGTTTAAAAATACTTTGAGGGACTTTAGGTATACTACCATAAACACCTCCAACGTTTTATGGTCTCGTAAAATAAAACTTAAGACTAATTTTATATAAATATTAACTATGTCGATTTTTAGCCAACTTTTATCTGGTAGTGAGTTTTTGAAAAGTTCAATAATTAAATTCAGATATAAATAGTACGTAATTCATTGTTATGAAACATTTACCTACGTGTCAGGTAAATATAATATATCTAAAAAAACTCATCATTAATAATTTGTCAATGTTATTATTAAAAAATACTCAATGTGAGCTTTGTAAATTCACATGGCTAACTAAACTGTTTATGCCAGACGGTTGAATATGGCTTTCTGTAAAGAACACCGCTCAAGCGACTTCTGGAGCTGACGCGCAGGTGCTCTCTATCTCTCTCTCAAGCTTTATTCAACCATCTATTACAGTAGTTTTAACAGTGGTAGAGCCACGGGGCAGCTTTGCTGTTGCACGTATGGGCCGGCTCAAACCGGGGTGGTACCACGACCTCACAGAATACCGGCGTGAAGTGGAAGCTCTGCTTCCGCGTTTCGTCTGATGAGTGCAGGTGGCCGGAGGCCCAAATCCCCCCCCCCATCAACATGGTAGCGGAATTAAATAATGATAGACTACCCCAGGAAGGTACCAGCACCCCTGGAGAATCCCTCCCTGAGCATCCACGACCATGTTTCTGAGCGTAGGTGCTCAGGCTGCCCCGCGTATTCTGGGGGGAGGGGCAAAATTCCGCTCAAGACTACAACTGCTCGGGACAAACGGAGCAACAAGACCAAGGCGACCCCTGCCACGCTGTCTGTGAATTTCTGCAATATCAGGGGACTTCACTCTAACCTAAACGCCGTCCACTACCATCTCGAGACGGCGAGGCCGGCTCTGCTCTTTCTGACCGAGACGCAGGTGTCCTCTCCGGCTGATGTCTCGTATCTCTCCTACCCGGGGTACAAACTGGAACACTCCTTTGTGCCTCGGGCTGGAGTTTGCGTTTACGTCAGAGAGGACATCTGCTCTCAACGCCTCGGCAGACTTGAAGGTTCGGACCTGTCCATCCTTTGGCTACGCGTAGACAGCGACGACCATCCGCGCGTCTACGGGTGCCTCTATAGGTCCCATAGCGGTAATGCCGAAACAGACCGACTATTCGACCACGTCCAAATGGCTGCAGATTCGTTGCTACAGCAGATCCCCTCCGTAGAGATCGTGATCCTCGGCGACTTTAACGCCCATCACGCCGAATGGCTTAGTTCACGTTTAACCGATCATGCGGGGAGATCTGTTCATGATTTTGCCTTGGCATATGGTCTGACACAACTGGTTACTTCGCCTACGCGGATTCCAGATGTGGAGGATCATGCATCTTCCCTGTTGGACCTTCTACTGACTTCTCATCCAGACGGATATCAGATTTCCGTCGACGCCCCTTTACGCTCCTCGGACCATTGTCTGGTCCGGAGTGTGGTGCCACTCACGCTGAAATCGCGGTTGCATTCTGCAGGCTGCCGCCCCGTTTGGCACTATAGGTCAGCCGATTGGGATGGGATGCGGTCTTTCTTTGCATCCTACCCTTGGGGGCGGGTTTGCTTCTCGCCGGATAATCCCAACGTTGTTGCGGATTCTGTTGCTGATGTGGTACTTCAGGGTATGGAACTTTTTATTCCTTCCTCTGTGGTGCCCATTGGAGGCAAGTCTCAGCCATGGTTTGGTCGCTCCTGTAAAATAGCATCATGCTATAAGCAGGAGTGCTACCAAGCCTGGGCTGATGCATCAGCGTCCCGGGATGTAAACACCAGCGCTCTAAAAAAGAAGTATAATTCCGCCTCTAGGTCCTTCAAAAGAGTCATTGCCAAGGCAAAGTCAGAGCACATAGGCAGAATTGGCGAGAAACTAGTTCGCCTTCCTTCTGGAAACTGTGCATTCTGGTCTCTCACCAAGGCTGTCCAGGGGAATTTCTGTCAGCCATCTCTTCCATCTCTGCACAGGGAGGACGACTCACTGGCCCATACCGCAAAGGAGAAAGCCGATCTTCTAGGCTCTTTCTTTGCGTCTAACTCGACTCTCGATGACGGGGGGAGTACTCCGCCGACCATCCCGCGGTGTGAGTGCTCCATGCCGGAAGTGTACTTCACACAGCGCTCGGTTCGCAAAGCACTCTTCTCCCTGGACATCCACAAGTCGAGTGGGCCTGACGGAATCCCCCCAATTGTGCTGAGGACGTGTGCTCCAGAGTTGGCACCGGTTTTAACGCGTCTTTTCCGGTACTCCTACTCCCTAGGCGTAGTCCCAAAATCATGGAAGACGGCTTACGTCCACCCGATCCCTAAAAAAGGCGACCGCTCTGACCCGTCCAACTACCGGCCAATCGCCATCACCTCCTTGTTCTCTAAAACAATGGAGTCCATTGTAAACTGCCAGCTCATGAGGTACCTTGAAGATCACCAGCTGATTAGTGACCGCCAGTACGGTTGTCGCCGTGGTCGGTCAGCTGGTGATCTTCTGGTCTACCTAACTCACAGATGGGCGGAGGCAGTAGAGTTCAAGGGGGAGGCATTGGCCGTTAGTTTGGACATTGCGAAGGCCTTCGATCGGGTTTGGCACAAAGCGCTTCTTTCGAAGCTCCCTTCCTATGGGCTTCCCGAGAAATTGTGCGATTGGATCACCAGCTTTCTTGCAGATCGGAGCATCAAGGTCGTTGTAGACGGTGCAAGCTCCGATTGCAAGCCTATTAATGCTGGTGTTCCACAGGGCTGCGTGCTATCGCCAACGTTGTTTCTTCTGCATATCAATGACATGTTGCATACCCGTAACATTCATTGCTATGCAGATGACAGCACTGGTGATGCTCTTTACACCGGCCGAGCCAATATTTCTCGGGAAAACGTCTCCGAGTGCCGGGACAAACTTGTGTCTGAAGTCGAGTCTCTGCTGGACAGAGTCTCGGATTGGGGGCGACTAAATCTGGTCCAGTTTAACCCCCAGAAGACACAAGTTTGCGCGTTAACCGCTAAAAAGAACCCCTTTGTCGTATCCCTCAGTTTCAAGGCACTCCCCTTGTTGCCTCAGCCAGTATCGGAATCCTCGGCGTCGACATATCGAGTGACGTGCAGTTTCGTGGTCACTTGGAAGGGAAGGCCAAATTGGCCTCTAAAAAGCTTGGCGTGCTCAGCAGAGCGGGACAGTATTTCATGCCGGCACACTGCCTGCAACTTTACAAGGCGCAGGTTCGGCCGCACATGGAATACTGTTCCCATCTCTGGGCTGGGGCTCCCCAGTACCAGATTCTTCCACTTGACCGCATCCAGCGCAGAGCGGCTCGAATCGTCGACTACCGAGTGCTTTCCGATCGGCTCGATTCACTGGCGCTGCGAAGAGATGTTGCATCTCTTTGCGTATTTTATCGCATCTATCACGGGGAGTGCTCTGAGGAATTGTTCGGATTAATCCCAGCCGCCAAATTTCGTGAACGCACTACACGTCAAACGTCCCGATACCATCCACACCATCTGGATGCTTGGCGGTCCACCACTGTACGTTTCAAAAGGAGTTTTCTTCCACGTACAACCTCTCTGTGGAATAGTTTACCACCGGCGATTTTTCCGGACCGATACGACCTGGGGACCTTCAAGAAAAGATCTTACTCCTTTCTAAAGGGCCGGCAACGCACCCGCAATTCTCCTGGTGTTGCGGTTGATCATGGGCGGCGGTAGTCACTTAACATCAGGTGAGCCGCATGCTCGTTTGCCCCTTCTTCTATAAAAAAAAAAGTAATAAAGATCTAAGTAGGCAGTCTAGAATTAATATTTTCTCAGTAGGTATTTTCGATTCGTGCTGTCAGGTCAGCGTTGCTGAGACCAAAGCCTTGATGCCAAAATGTAAGATATATAAGTAATTAAGTCACAAATTCGTTTCTTCTATCATTAACTCATTATTTATCGACTATCTTTAATTTTGATTTTTTATAGTCGCTATGGTGGTGCAATTTGTATGGTGGAGAAAATGTATGGTTCTCACAGTAAGTACCTTCAATATTCGTTTTCAGAACCAAATGCTGATTCTTGATGCCAAAATTTAGTAGTAGGTAGTTAAGTTTTAAGTTCGCTTTTCATATTATACCTACACTAATTTTGATTTTGTAGTCGCTAAGAGCACGCAGTTCAACGAACTATCTTGATTTTAAATAAAATATTTTTGCAAAAACTATGTTTTAATTTTTTTAATTTATTTGTGTCAACCCTTGCGTCTAAAATCAGTTGTATGCAAACTTGCAAAAAGTAACGGGTAACATTAGCCACAGTAATAAAAAGCTAATATGGCCACTTTTGGAAATTAATTTTATATAGATGCCATCTTTAGCCGGTTTTCTACTATAGCTCTTAAGAAGCATGCAAATAAGGCTTAAAGTTCAGTCGAAATAAACAGTGGACAATGTTTACAGAAAGTGGACCTAACTGGCCGGTCTTTAAAATTACTTTTAAACTACAAAATCAACTATTTTTTACAGATTTTTTGTGTTTTAGTTACAGTAACGCATAAAAACTTCACTTGCACGTCATAAAATCAATACTATTTCCTATATTTTTTGGTGTGGCAACCAATTTTCTAAAAATGTGGCCAAAGTTGAAGGAATTCACGGTATTTAATATAAAATATAACTAATTATTCAGAAAGATAAATTAAGCCTATAATTGTCCTAAGAAATTAACGTTCCCCGTGAAATTTGTGAAATATTTCATCTCATCGCCCTGGTGGCAGAAAAAGTTGTGACCTTAGAGTTTTTTACTTTTAGCATTGCTTTATAATTTAAACTACAAGTTCGGCGTAAAATAACAGAAAATATAAATTTATAGTACTTAAATAAATGTAACAACCCTTTTAATATTATATATATATATATATATATATATATATATATATATATATATATATATATATATATATATATATAATATTAAAAGGGTTGTTACATTTATTTAAGTACTATAAATTTAT